ATTTTATAACCATATTGAAATTTGGCTTGCGATGTCAGCAGTTAAGAACTAATTAAGTGGAGTGAGTCTTGGTAGAGTGTATTTTTATTGCAAGGACTTGATGGATGCCCTGTTGAAAGTGTTCTTGATCCATAGAGGTAGCTTTCGGCAACAGGTGTGCCACCACACAGGTGGTTCTCTTATGATTACCTGAAGGTGATTGAGAAATCTTTTCCTTTGTTCCTTCTTATTCTTTACCATAGCAGTTTTAACCATATATCTACTCCAAGTTCCACTGGTATCATTCACTGATTTAATTCAACTTGTCTTAATCTTCCCCATTCATCAGAATTATAAAGTATTCCATAATCTTGAGAAGGAAGGATCCCTTACCAACTTGTTCTGTGAAGCAAACTATCAGCTTAATACTAAAGCCAGGGAACAACATAATGAAAAAAGAAAACTACCGAACATTCTCTCTAATGAATATAGATGCAAAAATTCTCAGTAAAATCTTAGCAAACAGACTCCAGCTGCAAATCAAAAAAATAATTTCTCACAACCAAGTGGGCTTCAATCCAGCAGTGCAAGATTGGTTCAGCAGATGCAAATCTATAAAAGTAATTCATCACATAAGTAGAGGCAAAAACAAAGACCATATGATTGTTTCAATAGATGCAGAAAAAGCATTTGACAAAATAAACCACCTTTTTTTTTTTAAAAAAAAGAACAGTTTTTAAGAAAATGGCATAGATAGGATATACCTCAAAATAACAGATATCTATGAAAAACCCATAGACAACATCATATCCAATGGAGAAAAATTGAAAGCATTCCTGCTTAGAACTGGAAGTAGACAAGGATGTCCGCTGTCACCACTTCTATTCAACAGAATGCTGGAAGTCCTCGCCAGAGCAGTTAGACAAGAGAAGGATATTGAGGGTATACAAATGGGGGAAAAGAGGTTAAACCATTGGTCTTTGCTGACTTTTTAATTTTATACCTAGAACACCTCAAAGACTCAACCAAAAGACTCTTGGAATTGAGAAATGTATATAGCAATGTCTTAGGCTACAAAATCAATGTACACAAATCAGTAACTTTCACATATGCTAACAACAGTCAACCTGATAAAGCAAAGATACCATACCCTTCACAGTAACATGAAAGATAATGAAATACCTTGGAATATAGTTAACAAAGGAGGTGAAGGATCTCTATAGGGAGAATTAGAAAACACTGAGAAAAAAAATCATGGGGGGTGTAAGCAGATGGAAACACATATCACGGTCATGGATCAGCAGAAGCAACGTTGTTAAAATGTTTATACTACCCAAAGCACTTTATAGTTTCAATGTAATTCCCATTAAAATACCAATGTCCTATTCTGCAGATCTTGAAAAAATAGTTTTGTGCTTTGTAGGGAATCAGAAAAAAATGTAAATAGCCAATGCAGTCTTATGTAATAAGAATAAATCTGGAGGCATTACTTTACCTGACTTAAGGCTATGCTACAAGGTAATTGTAATCAAAACAGCATGGTATTGGCATTAAAATAGAGACATAGATCTATGGATTAGAACCCAGACATGAAACCATCCTCATAGTGTCATCTGATCTTTGACAAAGCAAACAAAAGCATACACTGGGGAAAGGAATCCCTTACTCAATAAAGGTGCTAGGAGGACTAGATAGCCACATATTAAAGACTGAAACAGGACCTGCACCTCTCACCACTCACAAATGTGAATTTGAGATAGGTAATAGACTTAAACCTAAGACAAGAAACTGAGAATTCTGGAAGATAGTGTTAGAAGTAGTCTTCTAGATAGTGGCCTAGGCAAGGAATTTATGAAAAAGATGCCAAAAGCAATCATAGCAACAACAAAAATAAATAGGAGCTGATCAAGTTAAAAAAATTCTGCACAGCCAAGGACATAGGCAATAAAGCACATAGACAATCTACAGAATGGGGGAGGATTATTACACACCACGCATCTGATAAAGGTCTGAGAAGCAGAATCTACAAAGAAGTTAAGTCAACAAGAAAGGATCAAACATCCTCATTAAAAGCTGGGCAAGTGACATGAACAGAAACTTTTCCATGCTTAATCCTAGCCAGAAGACTAAGAGGCAATGAGCAGAAAGTTTTCTGGTGAAGATAGACCAAGGGCCAAGAAACACGTTAAAAAAATACTCAGTGTCTCTGATCATCAGGGAAATGCAAATTAGAACCACATTGAGATATCAGCAAACCCCAGTGAGGATGTCTCACTTCATCAAGTCCCAAAGCAACAGATTCTGGTGTGGATGTAGAGAGACAGCAGCACCCACATGCTGGTGGTGGGACTGCAGGCCCGTTCAACCTCTGGAAAGTAGTGTGCAGATTCCTCGGAGGACTGACAGTAGACCTACCATTTGATTCTGCAATCCTACTCCTAGGTATTTACCCAAAGGGGAAAAAAGTCATTTTATAAAAAGAAAATCATAAACATTAATTTTTAATTCAACCTGTTAATATATTGTTTAGGATATGGCATCCCCATTTATAAGTGAAATATGTTTGTAATTTCCCTTTTAGAATATATTTTTTTCTAATTTTAATATCAGGTGTATCCAGATTCAGTAGAATGATTTTGAAGTATTTCTTCTTTTTCTATTGTCTATAAGATTTGGCATGATCTGTTTTTTGGAAATTATCTTTTCTTTTTTTTTTTTTATAAATATTAGTTGTCTATTTTTTGAGACTTTGGGAAAAAAAATAAAAAGAAGTTAACTGATGACTCCGTATTGAGCCGCAGAGTCAAAGCATTCTGCGATAAACATACTCTTATGTGACAATGTGACTGTTACTTTCTTTGCATTACTATTGTTATTGTTATTGCTCAATATTTTGTTGGAGCAATCGCCTGATTTCTTTTCTGAATGTATTTATCTTCGTTCTTTACGAGGTTTTGTTTCTAGTCCTTATCTTAAACATCGTTATTGTTATTAAATTTTAAGCCTTTTTAATTTTGTGAAGGCAAAAAGTGGAAACCAGATAAACACATATATATGTAAAAAAAAAATCCTGTTTCTCAAAAAAGAAAATCATAGATACATCTTAACAATATGTTGAATTTCTCTGATAGTGCTCTTTGTTCAGTTTCCGATAGAAACAGACCTAAACCACAAAGAAGCCGAGGGAAATAAATTCTGGACATAATCACATTTAAACAATAATGTCATTCCCGAGTGGCATAATATGGAATCTCTGTCTTCCAAAGACGGGCTCGGACAGTGAAGTCTCTCATGAGCGACATCAATGGACTTTATTCTCACTCAACTTACACACATAATATTTCTACCAGCCGCTAATCATTTTAGATGCTCTCATTTGTAGGTGCAAATTCTCAGCTGGTAGAATTGCAAAAAACAATGGAAATAGTATATCCTTTTACTAGTCTTTCAAGTGAGTAGACTTCACTCTACATAATGCCTACGTATATACAGAATTTACTGATACCACCTAGAAGGAAGGTAATCCGTGACTTCATCTATATACATAAAACAAAGTTGTACTGCAACATGACATCCGAAATAGGACTTTTACTTCGGTTTAATTCATTTTGGTTGAAGCCTATCTTTACTATAAAGGATATCTTCATGAGTAAAGGATTTGAATCTAAATTCCGTTCCCTTGTATTCTGTTTCACAGAAAGCTTATTAGAAAGATGAGACTTGTTTGCCTCAGCTGAACTCAATCATCCATTCATTCAGCTGTCACTTAACAAGACTTTAGTACTAGCCAAGTGCTTGCTGCTAGGAGCTTACAGTGCTAGAGCAGAGATAAGGGATGTATATAATAGAAGAATGAGATAGAGGTCCCTAGGACACATGCAGCAGTTACTTTAAAATTTAGAAGAGAATGCTACCTGTGTGTATCTCTGCCGGAAAGCATCTCTGTGCAAGTTACAATTCTCTCGGAAAACATGTAGCATAGAGATAATTGGAAATTCTAGTGTCTTCAATTTTAATTTATATAGATACCTCAATTTTAGTATTTCGGGGTCTCTTTATTAGGATAATTGAGAGAAAATGCAAAGTTCGAAAGAACCAAAAATAAGTTCATGTAAAAACGTTAACAGGATTGTGATAGAAAATGTATCCTCACTACCAAGTAAATAGTAGCAGTCAGAAGTGGGTCAGGACACTCTTCTTTTACATGCTTATACTGTCATCATAAAGATTGTTTACTCTTTGTCCCAGTCTGTAGAGGCTGTCCTGTCAGTATTCTGCAGCAAGTACACCAGTAATTTTTCCTTTTTTCTCCATCTGGGTGTCTTCAAGTTTTTTCACACCCGTCTTTTTACCCGAGGTGTGAGTACACATGTGGATGAGAGAAATGATAGCCAGCATTAATTGAACCTCTCGCTTTCTCCTGGATTTCTTTGAATGCAAATGCCGGCAGTGCATTACTTACTTTCGAGAGGCCCAACAAGTTTTGAAATTAGGCACTATCCCATTCAAATGCCAGGCACGGAAGCTCTTCCATTTCTGAAATCTTTCCTATTATCCTCCTCCAACCTACGGTGCCATGAGATTAGCTTTTCCTCATTACCTTAACTTTCACAGAATTACAGGGGACGCAGTCAGCGGCGTAGCAGCCGGCTTCCAGCAGAAAACTGCCCGAGCCATTCGTAAATACGTGTTCCTCTGTGCCGTACAGTGCGGTTCCCACTGAAGCATTAGGCCAGCTCTGTTTGAAGCATTTTTAGACACAGAGACTAGTATAGTTCTGAAGATGTAACACTGATGAGCCAGAAAATGATTTCTTATATTTATGGAAAGGATATCCATTTCTATACATAATTTAAGTCGCAATTTTTGTCTGGGTGTTATATTTAAAATGCATTAATAGCAATTTAATGCGCCCCTCTCTAGGGAAGTCTTTGTAGATACAATACCAGCATTGAAGCAGTAGGGTGGTGTGCAGGGCGGAAACGTTACAAGTGTAATGATTTGCATTCTTCCCATTCCAGAACCCTGGGGTTATTAGTAAGACGATTGGAGAAAGGTGGTAAAGCGGAGCAAGAAAACCTTTTTCAGGAGAACGACTGCATTGTCAGGATTAACGATGGCGACCTCCGAAACAGAAGGTTTGAACAGTAAGTGTGTGCTTCCTGCACTCTCAGGCTTTCAGCAGGACAGAGAGTACAGTCAGTCGAAATGATCTCGGGGTTTATACTGAAGAGTGTTTTCTGCCATCATCTAGCTTTTACCAATTTCACCAAACTCAAAGTGATTACCTCCATTAAAGTATTTCTCCGAGTGCCCTTGGACTGACAGGGGTGTCCTTAACATATGATGGGCCGAATTTGTACAGTACAGGTTTGCTGGTTCCTCCTCCCCTTTGGGAAAGTTGATAAGAGGACTTGTTTTTGTCATTCTTCAACTTGCATTTCCAACGCCGTGGCCCATAATGTCTCCTCTGTACCCACAAATGGAAAAAGCTCCTTTGAACCGCTATAGTATAGTGTCTTATGCAGATTTCCCTTCACCTGACTCAAGCCCTTAGTCAATGAAAAATGATAAAAGTTCTCCAGTCCCTATGCAACAAGGAGCAAAGAAGCAGAACTCTTAAGAACTTGGGGTGCGATTTGACTGGGAAACCAGCACGAGCTGGAGCTGTCTCTCTGGCTCACGTGCTGTGACAGTGGGACCTACAACTGTTGAATATTTTAAATTATTGAGGCTCGATTGGTGTTCTCGTCATTTTTGCACACACTGATGTGAATGAATAAGTAATGTATAGTTACCAGCTTTCTATAGTTCTTAGGTATATTGATGAAGATATTTCTTTGAAAACTCAGCTGGTTCCTTTGTGAGGGAACCTCTTATATTGTTTACAAGTCGTATTAGATGAGGTTACAGAGAGTTCCATTTGACCTCTGTTAATATTAAAATTATAATACCTGTTATTTAAGGATTTGTAATTGAGAGTGTGGTATTTCATCTGCCGTAGGATATTTTGCTGTTTTTCTTTAGAGAGTGAGAAATTTATATTTGGAGAAACAGCTATGCTGATGCAGCAGAGCTTGCAAACTTGATTGATAAATGGGTTATTAGGATTTTGCTTTTCAGTTTCCGCAGTCTGTCAGTTCTTATTGCTTAATTAGTATACTTAATTAAGCTCATAATATCTTCTAGTCTGCCAGTCTTAATTTGCTAATTTTCCGTTCTTTCTCAAACCCAGAGCACAACATATGTTTCGCCAAGCCATGCGTACACCCATCATTTGGTTCCATGTGGTTCCCGCGGCAAATAAAGAGCAGTACGAACAACTATCCCAAAGTGAGAAGCACAATTATTACTCGAGTTGCTTCAACGCTGACAGCCAGTACATTGACAGCAGGAGCGTGAACAGCACGGGGCTCCCCGCGGTGCCCCGAGCACCCCGACCAAGCCACATGGAGCAGCCGGACTCTCACCCACGACTACCTCACAGCGCACACCCCTCTGGAAAACCACTACCCGCTCCCACCCCAGCACCCCAGAATGTATTTAGTACCAATGCAAGCAGTGGTTATAACACCAAAAAAGTAGGCAAGAGGCTCAATATCCAGCTTAAGAAAGGTACGACCTATCTTGTTTTTGTTTGATGGCATTTATTTTAAAAAGCCAATGAACCAAAAGCACCTGAGTTTTAGTCCATTATTGTATAAAAGAGTTGATGAAGACTTTGAGGGGGCTGAGTGCAGTGGCTCATGCCTGTAATCCTAACATTCTGGGAAGCTAAGGTGAGAGGATCTCTTGAGCACGGGAGTTGGGGACCAGCCTGAGCAAAAGTGAGACCCTGTCTATACTAAAAATAGAAAAATAGTGAGGTGTAGTGGTACGCACCTATAGTTCCAGCTACTCGGGAGGTTGAGGCAGGAGGTTCTCTTGAGCCCAAGGATCCTTTGAGGTTGTTGTGAGCAGGGGATGTGACTAGGCCACTCTAGCCCAGGCAACAGGGGAGGACTCTGTCTCAAAGAAAAAAAAAAAAGAGAGAGAGAGAGGCTTGCTTTGTAACATATTTAAAATTTGGGTTCTTTTTTTTATGCTTTTCACATGCATTTTGCTATATTGAAATTAAAATGCGAAAGTTCAGAGAATAAGACCTTTAAAATACAAGTCTTAAAAATATAGTTATTACTGCAATAAAATTTGTAAAAATAAGTGAAAATTGTTTGCCACAGCAGTGAGGATTTAACAGTTTGATTCCCCCACTTGTTTTCCAAATACAGCCCTCAGAGAAGACGTGGTAGGTTCTCCACTTCACCCTCTCTGTTTTGGTGATAGGGAGTCACTGGTGCACTTGAGGCTGGCAGTGATTACTGGCAGGCTGCAGAGAACCCAGGCCTCTGGCTCTGGTTCCCTTTTTCATAATGCCCTGTTGCTGTTCTTTCTTTAAGGTGATGTGGGAAGTCAGGACCAGAATTGCCAGTTCTTCATACGCTTTGTGTGCATGTATCTATTTAAGTAGCCCCTTCGTGTAGACCAGGCGTCCTCAAACTATGGCCCGTAGGCCACATGCCGTAGGACATTTATCCGGCCTGCCGGGTGTTTTTGCCGCTGCTGCCTGTCCTGCTTAGCAGCCGACTCGTCCCGGGGCCTGTAGTCCGGCCCTCCAGTGGTCTGAGGGACAGTGAACTGGCCCCCTATTTAAAAAGTGGGTTGTGGGAGCATGCATTCCTAGTCTCCTGCAGCTCAGCTGAGGTCTGCACTTGACCTCTGGTTTTCACCCAGTGTTCCTTCCAGGCACTGAGAAACGCTTTGGCTCTTTGTCCTCACTTTTAGCTGAGCATTTCAATATATTTTTGAATCATGCCTTTCAAAACGGTGTCGTTATAAAGAACATTTCTCTTTTTATGAGCTCAAATGACTTCTAACAATTGGATGGAAACGAATCTGAGAGAGGTCCTTGATTTCCTCACGGCCCTCGGCGCTGGGCAGCCCATTGTTACTAGAAGTTCTCCATATCCTGATACTCAGACTATTTTTCTTTCCATTTGGGGTAGTGTTTACAAGGTTGTAAACTCTCTGAGGCTGCTGTTTCCTTTCTAAATCATATTCTTGCGTTGAACTTTATATGAACCACAAGCTCCTTACTTCTGGTTGCTGGCTTTTAAGCTCCAAATACTTGGTTGACGTGATCAGGAGTTGACAGCTTGCCTCCTGCAAACACGAGGGCGCATCAGCAGAAACCCCTTCCGTCCCGTCAATCCCTAAAATGAGGGGAATAGCAGATCCTCTTTCCTCCTTTTCCTCTCCTCAAATGACAGGCCCTTGTTTTGCAACCAAAATCACATTAAGAACTTCAGATAGAGTTGGGTAAAAAATAAAATTCTGCTCGAGTTCTTTCAATAAAGGTGCGATACTTTACTTGGCCATTGTCATCAAGATATTAATTCATAAATATCTTTTCCCTTGTACATTGGCACAGGGGCATTTGTTTAGTTAATTATAGTTCTCAATACAATTAGTATATTTAACGAATTTTGATACAATAAAAACTTTGTAATGAAGTGAAATTTTGTTTGCCATTGAAAGAACCATTCCTTTGAACAGAGAAATTTTAGTAGCATTTAGAAAGATGATTGCATTTACACAAGCTAATTTAGAAAGGCTGCATTTAATCGCTGGAAGATAAATGGGAATGGTGGTTTTCTTTGAAATATTTTTCTGACCTTGAGTAATCTAAACGGTATAGAATCCCATAGATCTATCTTGTTTTTCATTTTACTGTGAGAATGTATGACAAAAAATGCATACTATCTGTGTATGCTGCCAATACTTAGAAATATCTTATAGGAAAAATAGATTATGATTACCACAGAGCAGCGGTTCTCAACCTGTGGGTCACGACCCCTTTGTGAGTTGAACAACCCTTTCACAGGGGTTGCCTATGACCATCCTGCTCATCAGACATTTACATTACGATTCGTAACAGTAGCAACATTAGTTATAAAGTAGCAACAAAAATAATTTTATGGTTGGGGGTCACCACAACATGAAGAACTATATTAAAGGGTCGTGGCATTAGGAAGGTTGAGAACCACTGCCATACAGTGAAGAAGGATGCTGATTTTCTTTGATTATGACTCTGTATATTTTAATAATGATTGTAAGAGAATTAAACAAGCTCTTATGGTTGCTAGCAGGGAGCATTTTTTTAGCATTATTATTATACATACGATTTTTAATGAAGTGCTTTAAAAACAGGGTGTGTCAGGGTTAAACGTCAAATTCAGCTGAAAGTGAGCTAACGCGCTTTGAGTGACAGCAGTTCTTCAAAAACTGGGTTTAACTCTCAGTAATTAAAAATGGCGGCTTCGGGATAGTGATTCCTTGGCGTAATTTTGGGACTGTGTCACATAACAACACAGAATAGCCCCGGTGGACTTGCTTTCTTAATTATGATATCTTAATATTTATTGCCATTTTGGCATTCTCTAATATCCTGGTCTTTTGTAGAAATTAGCTTTTTAATCAAGTCAGAGGAGAAGGTCAGTAATCTGTTTCAGTCAGGGCAAAATGTTTTGTTGGCTTTGTTAAATGAAAATTGATATCTATTTATCTTTCGTTTAAAGGTCATTGCCTGAACTTTCAGCTTACAGATTGAGGGGTTATTGCTGATATTTTAATAGTATCGAGGTTCACCCAGCAGTCAGTATTGGTAGTTCCTACAGATTAATAATGCAAAAGGAGGATAATTCAGGATTCTTTCTTAATCATTGGTACTGCAAGTCATTAGATGATGTTCCATGAAAGCCCAGAGACATACGGAAAAGTCCCAGCAGAATAATTAGGAAAATTTCATATAGACAGTGTGCCATTCACTTCTTCAGCATAGGAGACTTCAGACATTAGCAGTCTGGTATCTTAAAGTGACTTCAGACCAGAAGTAAATTAATGTTTCATTTGATTTTGACCATGTTTACGGTAGGTTTTGATACAGATACGATCATCGAATGTTTTCTTTATTTCTGCTTTATGTTTCTTCAACCTGTTTTTTATTTGCCCATGTTTTTGGTTCATTTACCTTTTATAATTTTCAAGGTAGTTTTACACCAAGTGCTATGCCAAATTGATGTATCCTTTCCTGATTTTTTCTCTTCCCATAATGAACGCTTATTTGCCCTAATATTATTTTCAGTGAAATGAAATATAGTATCTTAAGAAGTGGCTTAAAAAAAAAAATAAAGTGTAGGGAGAAATTAATCATTATTCAAAGTGTTATAAAAACTCTCTGATTCATTAGAAATTTGTCATGATTGTCACTTTTTTCTTTCCGGGGCACATTTTGGCTGATTGCATGTTGATTCCAGTGACATATAACCTGCTTTCTACCTTGTATCGAACTTGTAATACTGCCTGTCAAGAAGGCTGCTGAAGGACTGGGAATTTAATATTCTACAAAATCAGCAGAGTAATTTATAAATCCCCCATTGGCTTCGGTGGCTTTAAGCATAATATGATCATCCTCAGCTTGGTTGATGTAGGATGGATTCTTCACTGTGTAATTTGCCCTGTTTTGGGTTTTCTTTGAGAAATATACATGATAAGATCTAATTAGAAGAGAACTAGATGAAGGTAATCTGGAACTCTGAGTAAACTTCTATGAGCAGTTATGGTTTGGTAGGCAGGTCCCATTGTCTGTGTCTGGAAATAGTCCTCACTTTAACTATTCCCTTTCCATCTCTCTGAATAATTTCTCCTCCTTTCAAATTTGAATACTGTGGGCTTGGCGCCTGTGGCTCAAGTGGCTAAGGCGCCAGCCACATACACCTAAGGTGGCAGATTCCAATCTAGCCTGGGCCCGCCAAACAACAATGACGGCTGCAACCAAAAAATAGGACATTGTGGCAGGTGCCTGTGGTCCCAGCTACTTGGGAGGCTGAGGCAAAAGACTCACTTGAGCCCAGGAGTTGGAGTTTGCTATGAGCTGTGATGCCACGGCCCTCTACCCAGGGGGACAGCTTAAGGCTCTGTCTCAAAAAAAAAAAAAAAAAAAAATTAACAAATTTGAATACTGTGATATCATTAGGTGTAAAATAATCCTTGAATTTTTAGGCACTAAGGGTCTTGAAATAGGTTTTTTTTTTTTTTTTTTTTTACATGTAGTGAATTTCATACTCTAAGACTTTGACTTAAAAACTTATAGCACTATAAGAAATAAAAAAAAACTTAGAGCAGGCACTTTTATGTATTAATTTTGAATTTTTTCTGAGGAGATTGCCATTTCTTCTTAGATTAATAAGGTTTGATTAAGTAGGGGAGCAACCATTTAAACCTGTAAGATTGTCTATTTTGTTAAATTTATTATGACTTCGAAAGGGCAAGAAGAGATGTAGTCCATCGTGCAAGTTCTAAAACGTCGAGGTGAGGCAGAGAATAGTCGCAAATCCTTTAAGTGCGATACAGCTGTGAAATTTGAGATATCTCATTTTGTTTACTTTTTAAAAACATCATCTGTTACATACTTAGGTACAGAAGGTTTGGGATTCAGCATCACTTCCAGAGACGTAACAATAGGTGGCTCAGCTCCAATCTATGTGAAAAACATCCTTCCCCGGGGCGCTGCCATTCAAGATGGCCGACTTAAGGCGGGAGACAGACTCATAGAGGTGAGTGACTTCCACGCGTAAGATGTTCTATAGTTGTCATAAGATTCCATTTTCAAGAATTTTTTTAAAACATTTTCATAAAGTATGAAATGAAAGCATATATTTTAGTAGAATTACGTGTCACAGAACAATGTTTTGCATTTATACTTTCTGTGTTACCTGATGAAAAATTATCTTTTCATTTAGTTTAGGTACAGATGTTTAGTTACTCTGACATTCTTTATGAGATAACTTGGTATTTTGTCATATAAAATGTCTACAAGGTTATATTCCTAGATGACAATATGGAAACGTTATCTACTTTATAATCAAAACAGAGGCAGGCAAAGTAAACACAAATAGTGTGTCTCCATGAGGGGAACCAGGAGACTTTGGGATGGCAGCGTGGGGAATGAATGGGGACGTAAGAGCCAAATGTCAGGGAAAAAAAAAATGATAAATGGTTTTTGAAAATTTCTTTTGGTACCTCATGAGTTTTTGGTTCATTGGTGTTTGAAGTTATCCTGGAAATGATCAGTATTCAAAATTTCTGTTTGTAGGGAGGTGTGGACAAAGAATTAAAAGGAGGGGAAAATTGAGAAAAAGTATATTTTATTAGTTCTTTTTCTTAGTTTTTTTTTTTTTTTTCAGAAAACAGTCTATATTTTTATGAGCACATACTGTGTTTCCTAATTATTAACTAGTAGTATTCAAATACTTACGTGACGTAATCTTTTACCACGATATCCTTTCTCTTGTAGATTCATATGTGGTTTTGAACTCTCCAGATTTCTTGAGAAGTAGAAGATTAAAACAATTAGCGACTGCGTTTTTCTTACTCCTTCCTTTTAGACCTTTTGGTCTGTGATGACATTTTTTAAAACAGTCACTGACAGAGGCTAAGGGGCAGGGAAGGTTTGAGCACCAATTGTGTTTGGGTGCTGTTTCCAGAAAGGGTCATTTGTCCTTGGACTATAAATTGAGTGGTATGACTCCAGGTTGCAATTGCTCCTTGTTTTATTCAGTGAGACTCTTAGTTGGAAGTTGAACTCAGTCCTCTGGGCATCTAAGTTTGTAAAAATGTCTGTCCTTTTCTGCCTGCCGCCCTCCCCCTTTCTTTCTAAAGATAATCACTTTATTTTTTAGTTACTTTCTCTCTCATCAATCACCTAATAGTTTTACTTCCCAGCACATCTTGATGACATTTTATTTATTTTAAGCAGTGGGAGTGACCTGGACCTCGTGTGTCTTCAGAGTTTATGCTTTATTATAGCTGTCATCTTCATCTTAAAACTAAAACTTTGTTTTTGCATGTTCTAATCCCAACCTTCTGGTACCTGCAATTGTCGCTATATAGTATCTACAACTCTGTGGGTAGTTTTTGTCAGTGTCTGGATAGACTCCCACCCAAAAAAGGAAAAAGAAATAAAAGCATATTAAGTGTCTGACATTTTTTATCTTTATCCTCTTCCAGAATTTTTTCACACTCTTTGATCTTGTTACCTATTTCCTATAATCCCATAATAGTAGTATTTTGAGCTATGCAAGATTGTTTTAGCAGAAGACCCGTTCCAAAACATATTTTAACCCCAGGAGAATTTTGGTATTACAGTTTAAGTAATAGACGTATTTACCTAGGTCAACAATGGTATTTTTTTCTAAAGAGAAAAAGTACGGAATATTTATTTTTAAGAGAAACTTGTGCTGTCACCGCTATTAAATACAAAATTTGCTTTCCAATAAGGATGCTGTACTTCTCATGAGATGGAATGATAAGATTCTCTAAGAACAGTTTGTTTCAAATCTTTTTCCTGCTAGACTTCTCTTATAACTGAAGAAATTTTTTGAGGTGACATAGTTCTCTGCATCTGAAAATATTATTTTGTAGTGATGCCTCTTTATTGTTCATTGTCTACATGTTACCAATAAAACATGGCTTCCGATTTGTCAGTAAGATTTCATTAAAAGGTAAAATACTTAGGCCAAACTAATTTTGGTGTGTTTTTATTACTTCTTATGAGAGCAGTGGCTTTTTATTTTTGTGTAAGAAAACCTGTGATACCCAAGGGCCATCAGAAGATCTCAGGTCATTGCCAGTAAGTGGAGTGACTTGACGTTTCAGATATATATGTGTTTATTACTTGTGACTTATTAATGCCCTTCTGCTTGTAAGCTTTTGATTCATTGATGAAAACAAGAGGATTGGCCACTTCCCTTTTACTTCTGGGTATCTGTAAATGTATTAGCCACAAAACCTTAGTGGTTACTGTGTCATGGCCGAAGTTTGCATGAAATGAGTTTCGTTCCGCAGCAGACACGGCCAGTCCTAGAATGCGTGTCTTGTCTTCTGTTATTGGTTTGAACAGGATTGCAGCTGAAAACTTATGATTTGTTTTAGGTAAATGGTGTCGATTTAGCCGGCAAATCCCAGGAGGAAGTCGTTTCACTGTTGAGAAGCACCAAGATGGAAGGAACTGTGAGCCTTCTGGTCTTTCGTCAGGAAGACGCCTTCCACCCAAGGGAACTGGTGTGTACATTAGAGCAGATGAAAGATTTCTTTCTGATGCACAGAAGCCAGGGTTCTGGGATGGCTACCCGATGGCAAATGCTTATTGCCACATTTTCCAAGGAGTTTTCTCTACCTGATATTTCTCCTGCTCCTACCTTGATGCAAGCTTTCTTTTCTCAAATAGTCCTTTAGTTTTAGAAATGGATATCCACAGTAATGAACGGAGGGGTGTTTAAAAATCAGACCTGTGGGTCCCAGATTCTCCGGGACATCAAGTGTTTGTCACTGTACACTCTCAGATGGCCTGAGTGAATACAGAGACGTTGATTATTTCAGAACTGTCACTCCTCAGGCTGTCGCTGAAAGCTTGCCATCTTTCCCACGACATATGACAAATTTTCATGTTTCAGATTTTCGTAGTACGTGTCGCTAAGCCAAATAAAGATGCTTGCTTACTGTTGTGTGAAAAAGAGTACCTAAAAAAATCCCCCCAAACAGAAAAACAATTATTGAAAACAAAAAGTCAGTCGTAAGTGATAATATGCCCAGTGGCCATTGACTAGAAATAGAGGTGACAGTGTTTGGGAAGTCATAAGTGAAAAGGCTTTTGTTTGCAACCTGTCTATTTCCTTTTGTGCACTCACATCAATATGCCTAGTGGACATGGTACAGGTGTGGATAAAATGTGTCTTAAATTTCCATAGTTTCTCATGGTTTTCTGCCAAACAGGTTAGGATTCGTTAATATATATAAAAGTGACAGAGTTGGAGGGGTTGCCTCTATCTTTTGATCTGGTGATAGTGTTTTATATCAACTACAAGTGCTATTTTCAGTATTTCAACACAGATTCTACTTGGATTGTCTTAGACCCTGCAACCTCTCTTTTTGCTAGCTTTTAGCTTTCCTTAAACAACAATTAATTTTAACAACCTGGAGTGGCAGGGTTTTCAGGGCACGGTCCCCAAATTTGTCGTCTAGCCCCAGTTCTCGTAATTTATGGCTTTAAGTACAGATATATTATGGTTGATGAAATGTTCCGCTTACTGTAAACAGAATCAGTATTCTCTCTCTAAGTTCTGACCCTTCCATCCCTTGGTTCCACCCATCTCCAAAAACTCATTGCGATTTTGTGGAAATTTCAGGCGGTGGATAGGGGTTGACTAGCGAGCGCTTTTGTTTTAAGTCGATTTTGAATAAATCACGACAACTTCTTTATATTTAAAAATGTTTAATGCATTATTTCTCGATTTAAATTCCGTTTTGCATTTTCCCCCCACTGTTATCCAATTTTGTGCTTAAAATGCCACCTGATCCTAAATCTGGAGATGTCTCTATTAAATTGTAAATGAGCATTTAAAAAAAAAAAAGAAAAAAAAACCACTAAGCTTTCCACGTGATTCCATGAAGCTTTAATTCTTCCTCCGCGTATCCCAGCCGCGATAGTTAGCATTATTAGATTGCCAAAGCTCCGGCAGTGCTCTGAAGCAGGCTTTCCCAGAGTTGGTGCCAACGTATAGCCGGCTCAGGTTATTAAGGCTCTTCTTGTCCAATTTTGATCCTCCAGGCTTCTGTTTTTCCCTTCTGCCGCTTGCTTTTTTTTTTCCCCTTGGTTATTTAATTTATTGCTTGTGAGCTTTTCATTAAGGAGTGAGCCAGTAGGCCGTCAGTTTATTATGCATGTTGCAGCTGCTTTTCAAGATTTAAAATGATAAAATCCCGAAAACTTAAAGAGGAGGGGGTGGTGGTGGGGAACTCATCCAACTGTTCTTTGAATCCAATGGATGTAACTCTTTTCCTCTGTTTGGGGGTGTCTGTTGCAATTCGTGTAACTGAATCTAATTTCTTTGGTCCCAATGTGCATTTTTAGTAAATCAACCCTGGAAGCACCCCTATAATTCAAACAACTCTATATGATATGATCAAAAATACATTTATTCTAATTAAAACAACGCTACATTACATGATCAAAAATACATTTATTCTCTGTGTAACCTATGAAGCTTGTGGTTCAGACTGTGGTTCAGACTATTACTGTCTGGTCTAGCTATCAAATGATCCTGTATCTTAAACGTTAGATTTGACTGGGGAATTTAAAAAAAAAAAAAAATTAGAATCAGTGCCACGATTAGGAAAGCAGTTTGGTGAGATTTCTTTTCCTCCAAATAATAAATTCATGATGTATCATGACTGAGTAAGTAAAAATCTATATAGCTAGAAGGATTTCTTAAAACAGACATATACAAACACACACATCTGTGAAAATTTGGAAGATAGTCACATGTCAGCCGTACTATAATCACCCTTTGTATGTTTTGTGGATTTGAAGAATCAACAACATTTCCTTTAAAACAAAGTGCGTGTCCCTGTTTGTTGAAGATGGCTTTGGTCCGTCCGTATTTATGTTTTTCTTCAATTCTTCTAGAATCCAGAGCCAAGCCAGATGCAGATTCCAAAAGAAACGGTAAGAGCTTTGTCTTTTGCAGGATGGAAAGATGTTGGAAAGATAATGGAACTAACTTCTTACTAATTGAATATGAAGTTAACTTGTCCTGCCTTCTCTTGGCTCATGAGGAATACCTGAGTTTATTAAATTCCAAAACGGTCTTATTTGAAGGTGGCTTATTGTTACTACAAATGGAGTATATTTTCTGCTTATTTTTGGTCAGATTAAAAAGAGAGAGATTATAATTTCCTATTCACTTGCATAATAAGAGCAATACTCACAAAACTGGTGAGTTTCCTATTCACTTGAATAAGAAGATCAGACTCACAAAACTGGTGAGTTTAGTACCGTTGGCATAGATGCAAGGTATTTCGTAAGTCGCGAAATGCTAGATTGTAACTGCTTACCAAGTGAGGGAAAAAGTCAAAATCAATCCCTTGATTCAAGAATGGAAAAAAAAAAGGGAGAGCTAAGAGGATACAGTACAAAGGTATCATAAACAGGAAAATTAAGTAATATGTTAGTTTTTTGCTAAACATAGTTGTCATAATAGCTATGAAAGGGATGCTTTCTCTTAATAAAAATCAAGTGCTCACAGCCATCATTAAGATGGAAACATAGTTGTGTCTGTTTGGAGGACGGTTCTAAGACAGACTGGAAGTCAAGGAGTTATGTTTAGTGCCAGCAAGCAGAACTAACCCAGGGAAAGTAAGGATCACCCTCACACTCTCCAGAATAATAGAATATGTCTCACAGGAGATAAAAAGGCATTTTATATTGACATCTAATATTAGCTGGTCAGAATCTTTTTACATCAAACAACATAGCACAAAAGGTCACCGTTTCCAAACTCTTCTAAGTAGAAAGAAACTTTAACAGAACCACGTCTACCGTGTTCCTGTGTCTTTCCAGAAAGTTGTTATATTAAGTAGATAATAAACTCAGAATATTCTAAAGGATTTGAATGATAGAATGAACAGGTTTGAACTTACAAACACACAATGCCATTTTACAAATATTCTGAAATTCTAAAAATGAATGACTGAAGAGATCTCAGAGGCAAATCAATAAACAGCCTTAGGAGTATTGCACATTAGTAAGTATGCATTGCAGAAAATCCATAGCCTTAATTATTTTGTTTATAAAATAAATCAATTAATGGTATCTAATCAAAATTATAGTAGTATTTGTGTGTTGAAGGGTCGGTTAGGGGAAGGGAAATTGACAAATGGATTGTAAGGAATAAACTGGCCAGCCTGAGCCAAGTGTGAGAAAATGTCTTTACTAAAAATAGAAAAATCAGCCAGGCATTGTGGCAGGTGCCTGTAGTTCCAGCTTCTCGGGAGACTGAGAGAGAAGGATGGCTTAAAACCCAGGAGTTTGAGGTTGCTGTGAACTGGGCTGCCCACCGCACTGTACCCTGTGGCAACAGAGTAAGATTCTGTCTCAAGGAAAATAAACAACAAGCAATAAAATGGGGTTCGTTAGCAATATACACTGCTTGCTCATTAAAAAGACAGTGTGGCAGAGTATAATGTAAAGCTACAATACTTAAAACAGCATAGTGTTGCTGCAGGAATAGACAAGTACATCATCATTTAAACAGTTTAGGGATTATAGAAATAGACAGGACCTATATTTTTGTGTGAATGTTAAAGATGACATTTCAAATTAATAGTAAAGGATCATTTACTTAGTGCTTAGAACCATTTACTTAAAAAGAGAAGTTTTTCTCACCATACATTAAAATAAATCCCAGTTGATTATGTATTTAAATGTGAAAAAGTACCAGAATGTCTTAAGATATATGGGAATGTCTCTGTTAACTTTGAGTTAATGAACACCTGTCTGAGCATGACAAAGCCAGAATGTCTTTACAGAGTAGATCGACAGACTCCTGTGTGTGCACGTGCGTGCATAAAACAAATACTAGTAGGAAATATATTTATGATCCTTGGGTGAAGTGTTACTCTTTTGTGGTTTAGAATATTAATATCATGGAATGTTCTAGAAAACAGAATAGCCTCACACCCAAACTGTATTGCTCAATGTCTCAGACACTCTGAGGTAGAAAATGATGATGTAAGTAATAAAACTAAGGCATGTTCTTTCAAAATACATAGTTAGTTCTGTTGAGGAGACTGATGACTCGCCATGAACTTTTGGTCATTCAGGGAGAAGCTGCCACTTGCAGTGTGGTGCTCTGTTAAGAAATGCAGGGCCTGGGCGGCACCTGTGGCTCAGTGAGTAAGGCACTGGCCCCATATACCAAGGGTGGTGGGTTCAAACCCAGCCCTGGCCAAGCGATTAAAAAAAAAATGCAGGGCCCGTTCCAGATGACAGCATGCCAGAGCAACAGAGAGCTGCCTTAAAGAAGGAAGTTACACACACTGTGTCTGTGTGTGTCTGACTGCTGATTACAACTGGAAATTTTTTCTGATATGAGTTTCCCAAACCAAATCAAAAGCACAGTTTTGTTTAAAGTTGTTTTTGTTTATTTCTTAATTTTTTATGCCTTCTCACATCTGTGCTTCTCCATCCACTCTGGCTGTGCCGTATCGGTTTGGGTTGTAAGAGGCTTAACGTTGACATTATAATTTAAAAAAAATAGATGGCGGCAGGCCTCTTGTCTCTCTGTGTGCCTTTTGGTGGTAAAGGTCTCTTTCAGGCATTCTAAATGTTGCCAGTTTTTGGAGCTCAAGGAAAACTCTAAGACAGGCTTTTGGTGTTTGGTGTTTTTTCAATTGACTTGCGTTATGTTCTAATCTGTGAAATCTAGTCTAGATTTTCTTGTTTTCTCGATGCCTGGAAATGGGGGGTGATGGGAGATCACCAAGGATTTCACCACGAATCTGAGTCTGAAGCCCAGGTTTCGTTTGGGGCTTCCTTAGGGTTGATCTTGGGGCAAAACGGTCTATTCACTTCCAAGGGTGTCCAGCCTGCGGCCACATGCACATTGTGTGAGGACTGTTTTGCTTGTCTGTGGTGTCAGATGGCATGAAAATTGTGCACGGACTTTGTTGTTCTCATCAGCTTCTGTTAGTGTTTGTGTATTGAACGTGTGGCCCAAGGCAGCTCTACTTCCAGTGTGCAACAGAGAAGAAAAAAGGTTGGACACCCTTGAAGGTACCTGTGAGTAGATTTATGCTTCTTTTTCTTTGCCTAAAGGAGATATATTATTGCTATCAGGAACCAAATATGATTTATACAGGCTCGCAGAGAATGGAAGATGGTTTCTTTCACCTTTGATATTTAACATTGCTTATAACATTGCAGAGGTATCAAAGACCGATCGATATTTATTCATTTGTTATTATGCAAAGCTCTTTATGTGGATTATTTCATTTAGTGTTTCCAGTGTCCATGACTTAGTTGGTAATGTAATCCTATTTAGGTAAGAGGAGAAAACGAATTTAATGAAGGAGGTTCCAAATCTTGGAGCCGGCAGTCAGCTTGGGTTGTCTGAGCCCAGAGTCTGCAGTTGGTTGTTGTGACACAGTCTTGTATGTGGAGTGGGAAAAAAAAAAGAGTTTAGGAATAAATAAGTAAAAAAGAGCTCCAGGCTCAGATAGCATCTCGTTAGTCAAGATGGTGAGAGGAGATGGTCTGAATGTTTTTATGTTGCTAATGGATTGATAATGTAGGTTCCCCTGGAAGGTAGATTTAGTATCAGGGATTTTTGTTCAGTGCTCTGGAAGCATTTTGTCCTTTTCCGACATGAAGACTGACTTTGCAAACGCTTTGATCTTACTTCTCTGCTCTCCCCTCTCGGCCTGTCCACATGGATGGGTAACTTCAAAGTCCTCACGTTGACCTGTTGCATAGAACGTCCCCAGACCAGAACTACTGTGCTCTCCCTCCTCTGATTCTTCATCATATTTGTCTGCATGTGGTGCTGGCATTTGCAGAATGAAGTTATCATCTTCCTTTATCATTTAAATTGTCTGATATGATTAATGTTTACACTCACACATACCCTAAAATACATACGTAGCTCCTACACTCACCCCAAGTACATGCTCCACTCATTCATTTGTTGGCCAGTTATTATAATGGCCCACAAGTGCTTTAGTCTCAGAAATAAGAAGGGTCCTTAAGCTTAGGATCTAAGCCTTAGATGAATGGGGTTAATGGTCAGTAGACCCTTTGAATTTCTGAACTTTAAGTTCTCTGTACATCTTCTTATGCAAATTATGCGATTGGGAGTTTAGAATCTGTAGTTTTAGGTTATATAGGCAGTCTCAGGGTTATGAACAAGATAGGTTCTGTAGGTTTGTTCTTAAGTTGAATTTGTACATAAGTTGGAACATGCACATTCGCGTTGCCTAGCCTCCATTTGTAAGTGTGAGTCGTATGTTAGTCAGATGTTTGTAACTCGAAGACTGCCTGTAATTGAAAATTGGACAGAAAACAGAATTGTTTAGCAGAGGTTCAAGATCACCTGGCCCTTGTTCTGGGCAAAGTCCTTTGCCTTTGAAAAGCCTCTGAAAGGTATTCACTTGGTATGGTGTGATGTTCAGCTTGAACCTTATGTACAAGGGTATTCCAGAGGAGAATAACCAATGGGGTATGTGTGTGTATATGGAGAGATTTATTATAAAGTTGGCTCATGTAGTTATAGAGGTTAGTAAGTCCAAATCTGTTCATGGGCCTGTAGGCTTACAACCCAAAGAGGAAATGGCACAGTTTTAGTCCGAAAGCCAGCGGGCAAGAGACCAGGGATAGCCAGTGTTCCAATTCCATTCCAAAACCCAGCAGACTGGAGACTCAGGAAGTAAAGGCCATGGTGCTGATGACACCTGAAAGCAGTCTGCAGGAGAATCCTTCCTTGCTTAGGGAGGCAGGTCTTTCTGCAGGAGAATCCTTCCTTGCT